GTATAACTCACACCCCCACTCCAAAGTGGAAGAACACCAGAAACCATGGGTGAAGGGAGACAGCGGTCAATGTAAGATAATAAAATAATAATGGTTTATAATTTATCAAGGGTTCATGAGGGTGGGAGGGTCGGGGAAGGAGGGGGGAAAAGAGGAGCTAATACCAAGGGCTTAAACAGAAAGAAAATGTTTAGAGAATGATGATGGCAACATATGTACAAATGTCCTTGATACAATTGATGTATGGATTGTTATAAGAGCTGTAAGAGCCCGCAATAAAACGATTAAAAAGACAAAAACCACTGATGATAAGGGTGCTACAGTAAAGTGTGGTGCAAAGAGCAGATGGTGTCCAGCTTTCAATTGCAATAGTGTCTGGAGTCTTAAAGGCTTGTGTTCAAACAAGCAGCCATTGAAGTGAATAATCAGAACTGCAGATCAAAATGCACCCTCGGCCTCCGTGGTGAATCCTGCAGACTAACAAAATCCTTTCCCAGACAAGCACCTTGAGGAAGGCGGTCTACTCATTTAGTCCTTGGTATGAATTGTTTCTGCCCAACTGTGTAAGCAGGACTGTTTGGTTTGGGTTTGATTTCAGACAGTGAGGTGGAGGTTCAAGCAGAACTAACACAACATTCATTTGAGGGATTCTTAAACTTCTTGTTTTTGGTAATCTTATTGTGATTTGAGTGTCCGTTTTCAGAGCAAATCGGATTTCCACTCAACAAAATGTACTTTTTTTTTTTTCAGCCCCACAACCAAATAGCATTCTTCCCACCACTTGGAATCCCTGAAATTCCTTTTTCCGTTCATCCGTTCGTCTTTCTTGCACATCTCTCCCTGCAATCTGGGCCTTGCCCCTGGGCAAAGGCCACCGTGTGATCTAAAACACGTGGTTCTTCCAAAGAGTACAGATCTCCCCAGTGTTGCCGTCAGCCTCACAGGCCTAACTGTCATTTGGGCTAAAAACTGCACCACGGGAAAGGTTCCTCCTAGACCTGAGGGGTAACTAAGGGCCTAGTCCAGGGGTTCCCATCCACTTCTCTCCACTGTGTCCAGGGCCTTCTTTGCGAAACCTTCCAGTGATCCTCACACTTCGGGGCTCATTCAGAAGACTTGGTTAAAATGGCAATTCCCAGCCCACCTCCAGATTCTGAATCAACACTTGGAAGGAGATATTGGGAGACCACCCTTTAAACAGCCTCTGGCCCATGGTAACTCTAAGGGGGTCCTCAGCCCATGAGTGGAGGAAACGAGACCACCTGCTGTTGATATTGATTAGCCCTCAGATCATGGCAGCCCCACAGATGGTGGGAGGAAAGACTGCCTGGTCCTGCGCCATCTCCAGGCACGGCTGGGGACCAAGCCATGTGGTTTTTCAGAAGCCGGATGCCAGTTCCTTCTTCCTAGTCTATTTTAGCCTAGAACCTCAGCACATAACAAGGAAACCTACCCTGACAGACAGGTGGTAGCTGTGTATGACGTGCATCGCTGGGAATCAAACTGAGGTCTCCCACCTGGAGAGCAAGAATTCTACCTCAAGCCCACCACTGCCCTCGTGGACCAGGCAGCGTCTCTCTAAAAGTTCCCTAGAACCACACAACCTGTTTTGAAAGAAAATTTGTACAAGTCCCCTTGATGTGATTGAACGATTGAACTATTCATTGCAAAATATGTGAATTATGTGCCAATAAAAATGTTGGGAAAAAATTTAAATGCCCACAGGTTACCTAGTAGTCAAAGAGCACCCTGAATCATCTGCTCAGGTTCTAAAATCAGAGGCAGGGCATCCTGGTGCTCTGCTGACTCCCTGGGAGCCCAGCCACACCAACTCATCCACGATCTTAGCTTCGCTCTCCCTCCAGGTGACCCCATCCCCTTCGGCAGTGTCTCTCCTAAAGTGCTGGTCTTGAACCCTGACTTCGCAGACTCTTGACATGAAGCAATTCCAAAGGCAAGAAACGGCCGTGGAAATCCATTAAAATGGCTTGTTATGCTGTCACACTGGGGGTCAAAGCATAACTACTGCAACATAATTAATTATGTTGATGAATAAAATGGTCTGCGCTGCAGCAATTACAAAGGACTCCAATGACCTCACTATATTTAGCTTTTTCATAAATAAGAATCTAGAGTGCTGGAATTAATTGCACATTTTTCTTTCATGAAGTCTAAATTGATCAGATGTATTGTATGTGTGTGTACATATTTATGGATGCACAAGAGAGAAACCCATTCACAAAGAAAAACCTGACTTCTAGAATGTAATAAAAATGATTTTCAAACTTTAATGCAAAAACGAAAAATGCCCCAACTTATAAACATAGGGAAAAAAATCATTATTTTCTATATTGAAACCACAGGAGCCTGGTAGTGTAGGGATTACTCATTGTGCTGTGATCCCTGTGGTCAGCTGTTCAAAACCACCAGCAGCTCCCGGGGGGGAAAATTGGGTTGCTTACTCCCATACGCAGGTACAGGCTCAGAAACCCACAGGGAATGGCTATGAGTCAGCATTGACTGGATGGCAAAAAGTTTGGTTTTACAGTTTTTATGTTGAAACCGGTCACGCCGCAAGATTAGTTTAAAACTTTGCTCAAGATCTAGATAAACATACTAGTTGCTAACTTACACCCTCCCAACAAAAATGATGCCATTTAAAAACATACACATTTTTATTCTGAATCTCAAGTTTTTTCAGTCTGGGAAAAGCAGGGGTAAAAACAAGAGAGACTGCCAGGAAAAGAATGATCAATCCAGATGATTTCCCCAGGAGCCTGTCATCCCTGAACAGTCACAGGACACTCCACAGACAGAGGGAGAGAAACCCGAGAAGACGCACAAACTTCCCAAAGCGCACTGCCACTGGGTCAACGCCACCTCGTAGCAACTCCACGGACAGAGGAGAAGTACCCCACCGTGAGTCGCAGGCTGCCATCTGTACAGAAACGGGTCACCACACCTTTCTCCCACGGAGCACCCGGTGGGTTCAGGGCTCCTTAGCTAAAGCTACAAAAACGAACCAAATCCACTGCCATCGAGCCCATTGTGACTCATAGAACCCACATAGGTTTCCGAGGCTGTAAATCGTCCCAAGAGCAGAGAGCTTCATCTGTTCTCCACAGACCAATGGGTGGTTCTAAACCTCCAGTCTCGTGGTTAGCAGCCCTGAGGCTGAACCAAGAGTGCCAGCTATAGAAACAGAGAACAAGAAACCCACAGGCATTCACTCAGTCCCCACTTGTAGCAATCCGA